AAGAAGAGACCATGGAGTTCTTCAACCAACAGATGCATCTTTCGGGCTTAGCGCAGGCTGCCGGCAACCCCGTGTTAGCGTGTCAAATTAATTTGGACAAAAACTTTGCATTCCTTGAATTTAGATCTATAGATGAGACTACACAGGCTATGGCTTTTGATGGCATCAACTTCAAAGGGCAGAGCTTGAAGATTCGGCGCCCTCATGATTATCAACCTATGCCAGGCACTGAGAATCCTGCTATAAATGTGCCAGGTAAGGTGACAGCCATTTCATTATGTATTTCTTAATTCAACATATTTCATAATGAATTGAAATAACTCCTAACCTTATTGTATGCTACAATATATTTGTGTTTACTTCTTATAAGTGTTATTTTTTGTTTTCAGCCGGTGTAATTAGTACAGTAGTTCCAGATTCTCCTCACAAAATATTTATTGGCGGTTTGCCCAATTATCTAAATGAGGACCAAGTAAGTAACTGCTTTCTGATAGTCATTATAAAATATTTGTCTGTGATACATTGATTAGTTGCCAATAATACCTTGAAAATGATTAGATTAAACCAAATGGGTTCTCTTATTTTAATGAAAGTTCTACATAAGATCAATGTTTCACAGTTTATTTGATAATTTATTTGTGCTTTATCTCATGATAAAGTTCCATTGAAACCAAAAATATAAATTAATGCTGATAATTATAAATTACTAAAGTAATGATAATAAATCAAACTTAATATGCAGGACAGGATGTATTGGAAACCCCATATTTTAACTGACAATATTTATACTTACCAGTATTATGGAGTAAAATTACATTATAAACATTGTATATTATTATATAAAATTATAATGACAAACTTCCAATCAAGATATTATAAATAATATGCAACTCTACATACTGATGATACAAAATTGTTTTGCAGGTCTATACTGCGACTGCTTCTTGTATTCTTACACACAGATTCTTAGGATTTCTCTTGAAGTGAACTAAATCATCACATTCCATCTTTTTTTTAATATTTGTTTTGAACCTAAATTCTTTTAGCACTTTAGGTCATTAAACATGAAGCATGTTTATTGAAATAATCGGTACCGCTATGGTGTAACAATCAAAATAGACATGAACATACGTAAGTCATTCATAGCAATAATGATGCAGAAGCTTACCACAAATATTGCACACATGACTGTAGATGTTCCCATTAGGAGGTAGTATTAGGTGCCGCAGCCATTTCAGGGCGAGATTCAACAGTTGACAGGGCTACGGTGGAGCCAGCAGTGAGCCGCGTTATATTTTGGTCAGTTTCAGGTATTTTCACAGGTACCCTAGCAGGGACGAGCGTGCGCTTCACGCTCGATATATTCTGAAACAACTCACTGATATAGTTTGCTTTCTGCCCCTCCCTAGCTTAGATATGGCACATTCGCGGCCCGCGTGTCACTGTTGTCTCTCATTCTCACCTATACGTCTTGTACTTGAATGAGACGTCGGCACTTCAAGGCAAGTCTCCTCCATTCACATCTGATTCTAACATGCGGCTAGACACAGGTCAGATAACATTCATTTATATATTTGCTGCCTTTTGCTAAGCAAATGTTACGGGAACTCTAAAAAATTGTGTGTAATGAATGTACAACTGCATAATAGACCAAATCGTGTATCTAAATATTTAATCAGTGTAAACCAAACTTTAAATAAACAACACTATTTCTAATTGAATTTTGTGTGAAACAGGTAAAAGAATTGCTGATGTCATTTGGACAACTTCGTGCTTTCAATTTGGTGAAGGATTCATCTACTGGACTAAGCAAAGGCTATGCATTTGCTGAATATGTTGATATATCTATGACTGATCAGGTAAATGTCCATTGATAATATTTTTTTATTTCATGAGGTACAAGACATTTTTCCAATTGTAACTGTTATTATTTTTCATTAGGCTATAGCAGGTCTGAATGGAATGCAGCTGGGTGACAAGAAACTCATTGTTCAACGAGCAAGTATTGGAGCCAAGAATTCGACATTAGGTAAAATTAATAAATGATTATTTTCCTAAAATTTTATGTTCAATGTGATGATTTTTACTAATTAGTAAAACTTTGTGCAGCTATGACGGGAGCTGCTCCAGTACAGTTACAAGTGGCTGGGCTCACACTGGCAGGTGCCGGGCCACCCACAGAAGTATTGTGTCTCCTCAACATGGTCACACCTGACGAATTACGCGATGAAGAAGAGTATGAGGACATTCTTGAAGACATCAAGTTAGTATTGATAATTAAATAAAAACATATGTTAATTACTACTTTTTTTAGTTCCTTTTTTTATCAATATCAAGCTATTCTCTTAATAAATAGATGTATGTTTAATTTTACAGGGAAGAATGCAACAAATATGGCTGTGTACGCAGTATAGAAATTCCAAGACCAATAGAGGGAGTTGAAGTACCTGGATGTGGAAAAGTATGTTCAAAACATTAAGTTGTTGAGTAACGTCATTATAGACACAATTAAAGAACAATAGGTTGCGGTCACCGGTGACCGCTTGGTGTTTGACAGTTCAAACTAGTTTTAGTTAGATTATGCAATTATGTGAAATTGAACGATTTATTCAAGTGTTTCTTATTAATCTTGTATTTTTGATTGCAGGTATTTGTCGAGTTTAATAGTATTGCTGATTGTCAAAAAGCACAGCAAACCTTGACTGGTCGCAAATTCAGTAACCGTGTTGTGGTTACTTCTTACTTTGATCCAGACAAATATCATCGCAGAGAATTCTAATTTTTAACTCCTTACATAATTATATTTTAAAGTAATTCCCTTTGTCTAATACAATCTCAAAAATGACATGTTCATTTAAATGATGAATTTCATATTTATACCCCATCAGCTCGATTGTATAATTAAAGCTAAAATAAATTATAACAATGTCTAAAACTGCTTTTTTATTTTTAAAATGTAAACAAGTTATTATTTATTATATATTTATTTTTATTGTTTTATAAATAAACAAAGTAATAAAATGTTATAAACACTTAGTAGGTGGTACTAGTTGGAGAAGAGTTAAGTAAAATTTTGCCAAAAATTAACAATAAATTAATCGATCGTTCGATTTTCGATGTGTACCCATGCTATGTTATACTATCTTATAAATCTTAGAATCAACAATTAATCTTAAAAATAAACTTTAATGATTATGGCAGCTCTTGCTGCATAGCTGGCTGATATGTGTTCAAGGATCCAGTTTCTGACGAAAGTACCAGCTTTCTCATGATCACGTACAGTACGCCACCGACAACTAACATGCCTATACCAGCCATCAAACTAATTGCCCAAGCAGGAACAGCATTACCATCTGAAATAAAAAGTACAAATTTTTCTTTCTTCTAACTGGATAAATTAGGGAGGAAATACAGTACCTACGTTTTTTTTTATGGCATAACGTGCTTTCAAAGGCACAAATATCTACTTTTTAGCAGTCCCATGTAGCAATGATGCCATTCAATTATACACTCATGATGGCTCCATTCCAAACTATCACTACTTCTAAATACCAATAACTCTTCACTCGGCGTCGGGTATTGAATCCAAGTGTTCTTGCTCAGCAATTATAATTATTACTCTAGTGACTACCGAGGTACTCGCCAACGAGAATTGGAATGATGACAATCGAGTCGAATTGAACTTACGGTAATAAGTACGTGTCATTACACGTCGTCCTCGAAGAATTTTACGCCTGGCTTCGGCTTCTTGAGTCAAGGTACTCAAAATTACTGAAACAATAATATAAAAAATTAAGAATGTATGAGTAGGTATTATTTTTCTCAGTAGCGACAAGTTGTTAAAATTGTACGGTCACGAGGCTTGAGGTAAAGAAAATAAATTAATAATTATAACCGGATGTACCTACCCACTTAACATCTAATTCTTACACATGCAGTTGGTAGGTAGGTACCGAACGCTAGACATTATTTATCAGTAAATTAGTTACATATGTATGATAATTGCAATTAAAAAGAAGAATATTACTTATTAGCATCAATCAATAACAAAAGTTCAGTTTTTTCAAGCGATGAGTCTGAACAAATTCGAATAAATTGATACGATGAAATGAAAATAGATTAAATAGACCTAACAGGTGAATCTTAGCTAAGTGTAGAGCTTAGCACATAGATAGGTAGGTAAATGGAAGTGAAAGTTTTACACGTACCTACCTATGTTAATGTAGAAGAAATAACCATCATTTGGTAGATTAATTCTACCAAATGATGGTTATTTCTTATGGTTATGGTATAGCAAACATTACTCAGAAGGAGGCATCTAATAATTTCGCAACTACACGGATAACTTGTAACAAAGAAACCATAAAGTTTGTTTACAACATATTTCATACGTACCAAAATTTCAAATATACAAACAGTACCCACCTAAAACTACAGCCAAGTAGAACCACAGGGATCTCTTCTGCGCCATTTTGAACTTAATTTTACAATTAGAACACTTTCATTAAATTAAAACACACTTCGCAATAAAGCGAAACTTATGACATACTAAAACAGGAGCATAGGTGTGTTCTACTCGGGGCCCTTATCAGTCGTAGATAAGATAGTGTGATTACTAACGCGTATACGGACTAATCTTGTTCTGAAAAACAGGTTTGAATAACCTATGTGTGAGTCAATTGTTATGGCTATGTGTATGTGGGTCCATTTATTTTGAAGATAAGGGGGACGGTACCTTCGCGCACTACCCACGTGCATATAGGGCACATAGGTAGTTTTGTAGTACATAATAGAAATGGCAAATTGATGACGTAAACGTTAATGTCGAAAATCTAAATTTAAATATTAATAACATCTTGACTGTCATTCGAGGGTAGATGTAAAATAGTTATACCTATATTCACTAGTCCTATTATTACATTATTCCGGGCCACCATAATGCAAGGTACTTTTATTACTTCCAGGTCATCACATCGAAAATCATTCTAGACAACACAATCAAACTAAGAGACTAAGTTTATTAGTAATTTATTGAAAACCATTGCACTAAGACTAAATCTATAACAACATTAAATCTAACTTATTTCTAAATTCACATCGATTTACTTTTCAGAGAAAATGTTCTTAATGTCGACCTCGGCTAGGACTTTCGCTGAAACCGATCCTGGGCTTTCAGCGGTAATTTTTGCCTTAGTAGCCTCCAGTTGTCGCTCACTACCAACAATCTCTGCGGCTTTTTCAATTAGATCCTTGTTTGAAACTCCTTCGGACCTCAGTTTCGTGTATTGTTGTATAAGTCGCTTGGTTTGTGTTTCCGTTTGGCTGATCATATTTATTGCTCCTAAACCATACCCTTTGGAGTGAAATTTCCTGTAAAAGAAATTAGTTAGTTAATTGAACTGCCAACTAGGTATAAGACCTGATAGAACAGCTGATAGTAAGCAAACTAAGCAATCGACGCCATCTTTGTCACTAGTAATCGAATCATACCTTCGGGGATCGGGAAATAGGCATTCAAACACACAACAGAAGTTATTGTTTCACGATGTTATGAAGTTATGGTAGTAATTAATATTAATTGTCTTCTGTCAATTAGACATTACATGCAGTTCTATTAGACTGAAAGAAATACTTACGCTCTAATATTATCCTCAGGGTAAAGAATTGGTCTTATAGGCTTGATTTCTGGTTTTGGTTTAGCAAACTTGGGTTCCACAAGAGGTGGAAAAGCTCTGTACACATCAAACCACAAAGGCCTGTCATCTGGTTTTATTGCTCCTTTTGTGAGAAGTCCCTCCACTCTGTAATTAAGAATGAACATATGATTTAAAGTGTGTGTGTTTTTTATTATTCATTTGTAGGTAAGGATATCTTTTTACATATTGGTTACATGTACAGTCAGCCAAGTTATTTAGTATGCAGGTAAGAAAATAAAAAATAATTCAGAACAAAGACAATAGCTATTGGTAGCCTGCTAAAAGAAAGTAAATCTAAACTGCCTAAAAAATATGAATAGTTCGGTTTATAATAAAAACTTCATTACAGCTTCAGCTTGTTGAAGTACCTACCATGAGGTAGTTCTCTGTTCTTGAATCAAAAATCCAGTTCCTACCATATAATTATTAGGAAATTCATGCACCTATGCAATTAACCAGGAAATAAACCCTATGGTCTATAATCATTCGTGCGGTCCATGGCCCTCTACGGCGCCCCTTTGTGGGCGCCGAACCTGATGCAGCGGCCCGCCCGGGCGCTGCTCATGTCACAGAGGGTCATGGCGATCCGAATGATCCGCGGATACCGCACGATCTCCGGAGCGGATTGCCGCCGTGCGATCTGCAGGCGAAGGTGAAACTCCGCTGCCGCGCCAGATAAGGGCGTGGCGGGAAGAGCTCTGGCGCGATCTCATGGCGGCAACGACTGTCGCAACCCAGGGCTGGGCTCGCTGCCAATGCAGCGGTAAGTCCCCTCTTTGAGGAGTGGCTTGATTGAGAGACGCTACGGTGTCCTCACCTACCGCCTGACGCAGGTCCTCACCGGACAAGGAAGTTTCGGGAGGCACCAGTGTCTGATGGGGCAAGAGGAAACGCCCGGGTGTCGTCACTGCGAGGACCGCCCTGAGGACACGGTGGAACACTGTAGCGGAATGCCCTGCGCGGGCTGAGCACCGCCGTGCCCTCAGGGAAGTGATCGGTGATGGCGACCTCTCGCGTCCGGGCCTAGTGCAGGTCATGATGCGGAGCGAGGGGGACTGGGATGCCGTCTCCTCCTTTTGCGAAGCAGTTATGCTAGCTAAGGAGGAGGCGGAACGCGTGAAGCGCTGCCTACTCGCAACCCAGCCATCGCGAAGGACACACCAGGCGTCGGGGATCGCGGGACGATGTCCGGCCTGCGGACGGCTAGCATGGGTGGCTCCCCGTCCGACCAGAAACAGACCCGAGCGTACGGCGCGTCGCGTTCCGTGCGTGCCTCTAAGAGCCATCAGACCACCACAGATGGGGCCCAACAGGGCTGATGCCGATTCGGGAGTCGCGGAGAACCTAACGGGTTACCGGGGCTCCGGCTCGACGTGCAGGAGAAGGAACGTGGTGGTTTTTAGTCAGTAAGAGTGTGTTACAACCTCCCGCCTCACCCAGGCAGGAGCAGTCATTGGATGATTTTCCCCCCTTAAAAAAAACGGTCTATAATCATACTTTTATAAGAAACATAAAAAAGTGTTACTGAGACACAAAACGATGTTTAGAAATCAATTGACATGAATTATGTACTTTAATAATTTATTTTAAATCATATTAACAATTCAAAAACATAGAAGGAACTAAATAATATTAAAAATCATTTTGCATTGCATGGAAAATTGTTCTGCGTAGGTTTTCCCAACCACTTCTTTTGGTTTCAGAAATTAGTTTCTCTTGTAATTTTTTTATATCATCCTCCAATTCTTCTGCTAATTTGTCGGTTTCAGTTTTATGGTCCATTTCCATTTCTTCACATCTAAAAAGGAAATCCAATATAATAAAGAAATGAAGTTTTTAATTATTTCAGTCATAATTTGATACTTATTTCAAACTTTTTATTCTTACTTACTGTTTTTTAAAGGAAGCATGAATATCTTTTAATACTTTCAGTTTCTGTCTATGAGCTGTGGTGGCCTGCTGCATACACTTGACTACAGCTCCAGTTAAATGTTCTAGCTTTTTTTCATTGTCTTTCATTGCATTACAATCTATTTCCAACTGCACCATCACTTCTGATAAGTTTTTAAGTAGGTTATTACTTTTTTCTTTCCTGTAAATGATTTTAAGTCATATTTACTATTCTCTTTGAAGAAACTGCTAATGACATGATGTTATTTCAAAGTTACTTATAAATCATTTACCTTGTCTCTAGTTGATTGTTCATAACATCCAATATTTTCTGTCGTGATTCTTTACAAGCTTCTACATTTACGTCCAGCTTCTTTTTCTTTGAATTTGCTTGATATTGACCAATCAACTTTGCAAGGCTTTCTTCTTCGGTCACATCATTTTTCTGTCGTTTAGTAATTTTCTTATTGCTGACAGAATCCTTTAGAAACTGTGATTCATTTAGCAATTCGTTTAAATCCTCACTTAGAAATTTGGATTTTCCTCCTTTTTTTGACGACATTATTGATAGCAAGTGTAAAATTAAAGCTCGTTTCCGCGTCAATTCGCACAAAGCAGAAAACGCGAAAAATGTGAATGTAATGAATTGAAGAAGAGTGTTCCCGCTAAATTTTACCGCCCAAAATTCTTATTCGATAATTAAATTTTATAAAAAAAATTACTGTTGGCAAAGAATTACTGGCTAAGTCTTAATACTTACCTTGTATAAATTGTGCCAATTCTTTCTAAACGGCTGCTTGCCATGTTTTTCAAATTAAAGTTAATTTACTGGTTCAAATTAAATTAAATTTAATTAAAATAATTCAATTCACCAAATAAATCGTTCAAACAATTTCTTGATTGAGGTTAGAATCCAAAATTAAAAACAATCACATGAATTTGACAATTTTGACACTTGACACTAACGGACGTAGTGAAGTCAAAAACAAAAAATAAAATAAAAGGCACGTACGCGCAGTAAAGTGAATAAAGGACAATGATAAAGGAGGCATTATTTTAATGATTCACTGTTTTATGATACTTTTGGAAATATGTTATCAAGTGTTAATAATAAGTCTAAGGGAACATTAAAGCTCTGGCCGCACTAGGACAGGACAAGAATCGTCAAAGTCAAAGTCAATCGATGGTATTTACCCACATAGTTTTGTAAAACGAATAAATGCAGTAGCACTAACGGTTTTTTTGCGCGACTGATTTTAAATACAATAAAATATAACACTGTTAAAAACGACTGCAGTTCCACCAGATCACCATAGCGGACTTTTTCCCTCAAAACTGGATTATTGAGCAAATTATAATATAGTCGTCGATTCTCGGATTACAATTCCTTCTAATGAAAGTATACCTGTCCTGATAATTAATTTTAATGAATATTAGTGGCATGCAAATGCAAGGTAATATAAATAAGAGTCATCACAATTTAGTATTTATTTGAATATAATAAAAATGACTAATGAATTTTTATGGGATAGCGTGGCCAGCCAGCCAGCCAGCTAGATAGGGAAGCAGTCGGCACCACGTCTATGGATACATACTAAGATTTGACTAGATACAGCGGGTAGTCTATAGTAAAAGTAAACTTTAGTATTTCGGTTACTGAAAAGAGTAGAGAAAAACAACATTATTATAAATCATGTATTTTTCAAAATTAAGTCCCAAAACAACACAACTCATTCAAGGCATTCTTTTTCTCAACTTAAATATTTTTCATTGCTTATAATACACTTAAATCTATTTACAAGTTTAGAACCTCAATATAATTCTGGGAAGTATCAATTTTATTAAATATTCCTGTGCAAAGCCTTATTATTGCACTTAAAGCCCTTGCCCACCATCACTTTAATTTATACAATTTTATCAGGCCTTTTAGATTTAATTTACAATAGAAAATATTATGCAATTTAATAATAGTCCAGTCAAATTAGATCAAAAAGTTCTACTTTTTTCATGTTACGTAAGTTAACAAGTTACAAGAATTCGCATCCATTTAAAAATTGGTAAGATTGTTGATTAATGAAATTTCGTGCCTGGTTTGTAAATATTGAGGTAAATTACTTGCACTCAAGAAAAAGGATAAGAAGAAACAAATGAATGAAGAGAAGATGAATGAGACACATCAATGCAGCTGAACACATTGGACCCAGGTATTGGAGCAGGATGTTGGGCCAAAATAATAGTGAATTGTAAATGTCCCTGTTTTATATGTTCCAGTAAATATTATTCCTTAGGTAGATCGGATTGATGATATTTTTTTTATATTTCATTTATGATGGTGTTGTGACAATCCTAAAAATTTTCAACATGTTGCGAACCATTGTTACCTTGGATGTATAAATTGACAAGACTATAAATATTCGATCGACGACAGTTTAGTGATGTTGAGTGAGGCTAAGTCCATTTCAGACTATAGAATCACAAGAAAATACTGTCTATGTGTATGTGAGATTCCACTGTCGGCTACGACTGTGACCGATGCTTCCTGAAACATCTCTTATCGGCTTGTCTTGTGAGAATATCAGACACGAAGTTTCTATGTGTAAATACACGAAGAATGTCCTCACGAGCTTCTTGTATTCCTTCACACACTATCTTACTTCTTTGAATATTACCCTGAAACAAACAAAATGTCGTGTTATGAAAAGTTGACCGAGCAAAAATAATTATTAAAAAGGTTAATCGTGTTTCAATTCACTATATTGTGATCATACCTTGAGTAACTCGAGTATCGTATGGGAATGTGGCTCCAGAGCGGATATCGCGCGTCCTGACGCTGTTTCGAGAGCTCGCAGTAGGCCCGCTAATTGCTCTCCAACGTCAGACTCTAAAGACATCTAATGAAAGAAAACAAAATATTAAAAGAATAGAACTTAGGATACAAAACTAAAAAAGTAAGCTCAATAATCGATTTGTTGGTAGAACTCTGATGTTTGGATATGAATATTTGGATAAGAATGAGAAATATGAAATGCCAATACAAAATGTATCAAAATTATATCACTTGTGTCGAAATACTGAAACGTCATTCAATTTTAGGTTGCGTTTAAACACGGAATATAGAATACAATGGAAGTAGCAAGTAGGCGTGGCACGCGTGCCACAGCTAAGCTGTGCACTGCTTACTCGAGGCAAATTTGAGTTCAGGCTCGTTCGAACATGGCGTCGAGTTGCTAGTCTCGTGTCAAATACATATTTCCTCAACTATGCCGTTTTGTTCCGTTTTGGCGTGTAAAAATGATAGCAGCCGAAAAATCGTAAAAATGGAGGTGTTCCGTATCATCGGTAAGTACAATTTTTATTGTTTTCTTGTAGAAATCTTATTTTATTTCAATTTACAAAAACAGTTATTAAAATAATATTATTTACTAAAACGGTTAGTCAAAATCAACCTTACGCCTTCAAGATAAAGTTTATTTTGGATTTATTCCATTCAATAGAACATTCTCGCCAGTTCTACGCTACTCAAATAGTTATGTAGTCAAATCACATATTGAATTTATCGATTGATATCGATGCAAGTGTAATGTAACATTTATTTAGATTATTTTTTTATTATTATTTTAGTGGTGACCCCGACGTGATTGGAAGCAACCTTCACTTCACGGAGCAGATCAGCACCGTCATCCTTATCGCCATCCCTCTCATTTATCACATTATCCATATAAAGTTTGTAAAAATTTATGTAATAGTTGTTACTTATATTGCCTATGTGAAATAAAAAAAATGATTTTTTGAAAAAAGAAACTAATAAAAAATACGAACAAAATGGTTTTTGATTTACATGTAAATAAATACTTACCCTTTTTTGTTACGTTTAAAAAGTTATCAACGACATATTAATTTTATTATTTTAATACTGTCACACTATAGCAGTCAATATTTTTTTTCATATTATTTTTAAAACACATTTTCATATTATCGATATTATTTTTATCGAATTATCCTACATCACTATCTGAGTAGAGACCCGCATTCGAGCCAGTGATAAGCCATTCAAATATCACCTTTATTCTTACAACGTTAAAGTTCAAACCAAGTACCACTTTTCGTCGCTAGATGGCATTGTTAAACGCCATCTAGCGACGAATGGCGGTACTTGGTAGTCCAAAACATACTTTTTTATTTTGATTTATAGTACATTGGTTTTAAAGTTGCATATCGTATGATATTTTTTTTGCATTTCGTTTACGCCCATTTTTTTTCTAACCAATCGTAATTTCCGATTTATAGTATGAGTAAATTATAAATGTATTAGTTTGGCGACACCGGTTCTGGCAGAAATATTGTTTCAAGCTACTTCCATTGTATTCTATATTCCGTGCGTTTAAATATAGCTCTGTCTCTACAAATCCACTGTAAATGACAGAGATGGCACGATATTAAGGTACAACTTTCAAGATTCGGGCGTTAGAAGTAAAATCTGTAAAATACGCTCATAGTATTATTACAGACTGGTTGACAGTAAATTGTAACAGTTAATTACCAAGTCATCCATCTGTGCAGTTAGATGATGTACTTTCCATCCCTCAGCACTGGTCAACACGTGTTTCTGACTGGCTATCGAAACGATATCTCGTGTGCGAGGTTCCCTTCGCCGCACGTCAGACGGCCGGGTGAAATGCAACGCCGTACTACGCCAACCGCACACGTAACTCGAACTTAATAGTGGACCTGTTACAATAAGAGATTTATTGATTTATTTACTGAAGTGTGATAAAGTTATTACTACTATCAATCATAGTTTCTTTTTTGAAATCTTTTTGTTCCGATTGCAAAGGAATAAGAGAAATAGTTCACAGAAGTCTACTGCTTGGAACCATTTATTTATTAATATTCAGTCATGTTTATCGTAAAAATATCTAACCCTTAATGGCCGCAGGGACATCCTTCCTTATTCTTTTCTTCCACTTTGGTTTATCTTCAATATCTGGATCGGAAACGTTTTTCAAAATACATAATATGGAAGAAAAAGTGAGTAAATTTTGTTACTGGTGAATTAGAAATACTTACGTTTTGGAGGGTTAAATGAGACTGGCGGTGGAGTGGGCGGCGGCTCCTCTCCTTGATAGTCGCACTGTCTCACTTCATTACTCAACCTGCAAAAGAAATATAGTTATAGGTCTAATGGGCCAAGTTCTGTTTTTGTAAACATTCACTTTGTAATTATTTAAAAAATGTAGCAAGCAAGCATAGGCAAGTCTCGACAAAGCATAAAAATATAAAATCGACTGTTGAAGTGCACATACATCTGTTTCCGAGGTTTCTTGCGTGGACTAAGATCAGGGTCTGGACGTGGCGGTTCTGGCTCATCATCAGGTGCGGGAGAGGATGACGCACTGATGGTCGTGGAACCGCCCGAGCCAGCGCCACAACCACCCACCGGTACATCCTCCCAGCCTGATCGACCAAAACTAGAGTTCTTGCTTGGAGACCTGTCCAAACAATTCATATATTCATATGTTTATAAATCAAAACCTTACATGCTAAAGACATATAACAAAAACTTTGATGGTAGTTTCAGTCAAATTATGTTGCATAACAGAAGTTAATAAGAACCTAAAATAATTTAAAGTAAATCTTACCCATCGAGATCTCTTTTCCTAAGTATGGACGGTCTTGGCAATACTGTCTGATTTGGGACGGAGGACACTGGTATGCGGGTTTCTGGCGACGCTGATACAGCATTCACAACCGTTACTGTGTAAATCATTGAAAAACATTAGCAAATTTTAGTACATTGTCAACATTATACAAAAAATGTATAGCTGAAAATTATGATAAAAAATAATAGTATTTCAGAAAAGGATGATGTCTATTGTGTATCAAAACCAATTTCATCAACAATAAATTTTTATAACAGTTTTTTCCTACAAACTGACCTTGAGTCTGCTGGGGCTGTGCTGACGATTGGTGCAGATACGGAGCGAGTGCGCGCGGCAGGGCGGGCGCGACGTGCGCGGGCGGCGCGCCGTGCGCAGAGTGCGCGCCGCGCGGGACTTCGTAGTACAGTTGCGTCGGAGCACTGTTCCCCACTACTCCACGGACACCCACGCTTGCTACACCAACCACCTGTGAAATTCATTTAAATATACATTATTGTCGCCATCTGCAAACCCTTCTGATTGAAAAAAAAAGAGGATTCAAAAAAGTGATGATGAAAACTGTTAAGTAAACAAGAAGTTTAATAAAAATTAAATGCTTACTTGTCCTATAACTACTCAAAGTGTTTTATATCAGTTCATTATACTGGTTGGGATGTGACTTACCTATACCTATGTATCGGAAGTTATTTTTAAATCAAATGTTTACCTTAGCAGGTTGGTAGTTTCTCTGCAGCAGTGGCAGTGGTCTGGGCGCGGTGGCCGCAGGAGTTGGCGTGGGAGTACGCGGCGGGGCTCCGCGCCCTGCTGCAGAAATCACAGTACTTGCTGAAAAGACAATTTAATAGTTTCTCAGTTCACAATTTTATTAAAATAGACCTTTAATTAATTGGATGATTTTTTTATATAAAAGATATGGTACTTACAAGTTAGTACAGGTGTAGTAGGTAAGGTAACAACAGTAGAGTGAGTTGGTTGTGAGGGAGCTGGGGAAGAGCTTGGCGCATTCGCCCGTGCACCCCTCTGACCATACACTAGTGTACTACGTGGACCACGAGATGCCCCAGACCAGGCACCACCTGGGGAAACACATTATGATTGTAACTGTCAAGGCAATAAAATAATAAAATACAAAGTATCTTATTCATGCAATGTCAGTCTTGAGCGGTTGAGCAGTTATTATTACATACAAGAAACATTTAATTTCTTACTTTTATGAAGATAAATTTTGTTTTTTTATCATCACCTGTCGGCGTTTTACTTGGTATTGCAACTTTAGTTAGTCTTTGAGGATCAGGGTAGGTTAAGTTAGTTGACTTAAAAAATATATTATGACTAAAAATATACAATGTTCACGAAAAACTGAATGTAATACTTTTATTTTAAATATGATAAGAAAGCATCATAATTTATAGAAATAATGTATTGTACTAGTCATAATAAAATAATGTACCAGAAGTTGCTTGGGTGTTAGAAGCAGGGGTGACTGGTCGCACGGCGAGAGACGCGCCGGCCGCGAGACCGCGCGGCACATGACTGATATGGCTCGTCACGCCGAGTCCCACTCCTTTACTAACCAGCACACCACTGGCGCTACTGACATTCACACTTGACAGAACAGCTGTAAAGAAATAAACATTGATTATTTGTCCCACTAACAACTGAGACAATATTTTGATTTTATTCCCATGAAGGAATGACTTTGCAGCATGCAGTATGCAGCCGCAAATAAACGCATCTTATGCAGCAGAGATGAGACACAAACAAGCCACTCGAGGCCTCAGGAGCTGCCGAATCAACAACTTCAGAGGATAGTTTGTGGAGGAGCAAAACATACAAGTGTGGTTCAAGTGGTTTACTGCATGTTGTTTGTGTGTCTTGTGTCGCATCTCTGCTGCATAAGCGTTGAGCTTGTATGCTAATTCATTCCTTCAGCAGAATAAAAACTAATATTTACCCAGCTGTTAGTGTAGCATGGATTACTGCAAAGTAACCCCTGATTCAATTCCATATATAATTATATTGATTTAGAGCTCCAGGGTCTATTTCACAACATGTGATAAGTTGTTGTTAGCTTTTAACATAATTATTACATTTATTTTGACACATTTTGTATGAAAAATAGAACAACATAGTAAAACTTAATCAGGTTTAAGATAATTGCTATACTATCATGTGACTTTGCTTGATAACTTTAAAAGAATGTGTTCTTACCTGGCCGATTGTTATGGTGTGGTAATGGAGGTAGCACTCTAACTGTAGGAGGCAATGTCCGCACAGATGAGTTGACCACCAGGTTACCAGCCCCACTGACCAGCTGGCTCCCAACATTCAACACTTGAGTTGCACTCACAGAAGAGGTTACACTTGATTGAACATTGCTTGATCCAACTGTATTGGCATTAGACACTTGGGCAGACAACTGGGTTCCTTGACTTATTATCTGTGTACCAGGACTTATAAGGGGGCCACTAGTAATCAGCTGCGATTGGGAAATCTGTGAGCCTTGACCAATCAACTGAGACCCCTGACTGACAATTTGAGCACCTTGTAAAATAGGTGATCCACTTATTATCATTTGAGGCTGAAAACAGTAATTAATTAAATTAATAAAGGTTATATCCATTTATTGTAATGTACATCAACAATTCAAAATTACATGCTAAATATACCTACATAGCATCACAAGCTGTCAGTTATTTGTATTTAATACAAATAGATATTGGCAATAAATTAATTATGAATGGTGTTAAACGTATTGAAATACGAATTGGTTAAAGCCATATGCACTGAAACTTACCTGTGAAACAACATTCGACGCAATGATTTGTGCAAGCCCTGAACGCATCATTCCCGTTCCGGGGCTAGCATGGGCTATTATTTGACTTGAACCTGTTGTTTTAGCTGTACCCGGAATCAAATGTGTCATTTTCATATCTGAACTAGAAACACTACTTACACTTTTCACTATAGTTATCTTTTGAGGCGCTAAATCTATTGGATGCATTTTACTACTAAGTGACCTATCATTATCCAAATTATTACTCATTTTGACACTAGCTTTGTCAAATGTTCATTATATAATAATTGTTAAGTGCTAAATTTATGTTCCTGATGTTTAGCACGAATTTTACGTGTGCAGTGCAATAGAAACTTAAAAATAAAATTTCAATAAATATTAGATCTTCAATGACACAAACAACAGTGGATGAAAGATGGAACCACAGATTACTATATACTAGTCAGAGACAGATAGGACACTCGATTTTTTGGTATTAGTTTTCACTTGTTACCGCAAAGCGCTAGTATCGCATGTCATGACGTCACAAAGTATGACGTAGTTTAGTGATGGTAATTTATATATCGATTTTACTAGTGATTACCATAGTCGATAAAAAAAAACTATTCGGGAATCTGTAAAAATTAAGTCTTCGACTTTTAGAAAATAAATGAAACATTAGGTAATTTCAAATTATTTATTTTTGCTTCTCAACTTATACATTTTATATTTATTATAAGCCTTAATTTGAGCAATACTCATTTTTAAAATGTATTTTTCCTCCACATCTCCTCTTAATATTTTATTTATTATATTGCACCAGTTATGGATGTGCAGCCTTAAAATTAAGTTAATAAAATATTCGCGTGCATTTGTTTTGTGCTTTGAGCAACCCAGCCAGTCAAATTTAAGTTTATGTAGGATTTCTCTTTTTATACTTTTCCCAATACTTTTTATGTGGGCATATTGGTTTAAATATAAATGTATCAAGTTGGCTATATCTCTATATAATATTAAAAACCGCTTTGAGGGATAAGCTAAATTGCTATTTTTTAATAGTTTATACTCCCTATACATTATCCATTTGTGGAAATTTTCTTGGACCTCTGCAACAAAAGTTTTTTGGCACTCTTGGCAATTAATTTTTTTATTTATTTTTCTACATATGTAGCCTGCTGTATATGCAGATGAATGAACCCTGACTCTTTCATTTACAGCCGTAACCCTCAATGTCTCTTGGGATATATTCTTGTCATATTCATTTACATCTGATATTGTTGTGTTGCTTGGTACATTTGTTGTACTTGGGATATTTTCTTTGTTTTCTTCTTCCCTTGACTTCAATAAATTATAAAAATCTATTATTGTTTGCCCATCATCATCCTCACAGTTCGAATAAATACTGTGAGGACCCATCACATTAGAAATCAATAAGGACTTGAAGGCATTGACAAATGTATAAGAGTCAGGATTAACATTTCTATAATTTATTGCCCTTATTCTGCCAAAAAAGTTTTCGAGAGGGTCTTGATTTATTAACCCAGGATAAAAATATTTTAAATCGTACTTAGTAAATAGTAAGTTGGCTATCCTCTCAAAGCTTTTCAAAGTCATAACCCAACCATCAAGAGAAGGGACTCGCACATGGTACTCTTTTTTATTATTTTTAGCTCTTTTACTGGCTGAGTCCACAAATCTTATATTTTTTATTGTATTTATTGCCTCGCGCCAGAATTCGAAATGTTTCGAATTCGGCTTTACTGGTCCTCGCAGCTTCCCTTTTTTTGTATTGCGTTTAGTCCCATTGACGCTATCGAACAACTTGTCTATAAATTCCACGGCGTCACCTGTTGTCTTCATGGTTGCACTAACTTTTTCACCACCAACCGTTGTATCTGAAAACGGAAGATGTTATGAAGATTTATTGTAACAAATTATACATTTTATATATATATTTGTATATTGGTGATATAACGAAATTCTTAATCCTTTTGCGAAAAATGATGACAAAATAATTTTATTAGCACAATAATATATTATTTTTATTTGTAGTTGACTAAAAACTTATTGTATGTCGATTGGCATATGTTTTACTAGCTACTCCCGCGCGGTTTCATCATAAATTCATCATAAATTCACATCAACAGTGCACACCACGCTCTTATTTATAGAACTTACCAAATAATGCAGTGTATTTAAGCATGGCACTTGTTTGCTCGCTGAGTGCTTGTGCAGCAACACTAACTTTCATTTTTTTTATTTTTGATGATATTATGTGGTGGTCAGTTAGTTTTTTATTCATCCTGGTGTGTCCCAGTTGACAATCAGCTTTATAGACTATGAGGATATCATCCCATGTCGCAATTGAACCATTAAAAATCATATTTTTGTTTAATAAATTGTTCCTCAATCCTTTCAGCAAGTGTGGAGGGTCAAACACCACGCTCAGTCTTTGTCCCGAGACTTCAATTGTTCCATCTGAAAATATAAATAGGTAGGTACATAATGTATAGAAAATATTAAAATAATGAAAAACATTTCATTTAATATTTTCCTCTTCAAATAAATACGTGAGTAAGCCGAAAACATAATATGTTTTTTATTATATCTCACAAAAGTTATAATACAAATATTTTATTTTGATTATAACATAACATAACATCACGCCTTTTATTTCTGAAGGGGTAGGCAGAGGTGCACATTATGCCACTGTACAATGTAACATCCACTTTTCACTATTTATGTTATGAGTCCCATGTAATAGGGGGTGAGCCTATTGCCATATACCGGGCACAATTCCAGACTCTGTGCTACTATTGAGAATTATTTTAAAAACCCAGTAATAATTTGCCCGACCCGGGAATCGAACCCGAGACCCCTTGCCCGGCAGTCGCACTTGCGACCACTCCGCCAACGAGGCAGTGATTATATTATTACTTCATATTTCTTATTTACCATTGTGTTCGCCTTTCAGAATTCTTCTCTGCTCGGTATCTTCACGCAACCCTTTTAATGCACTTCTAAATGTGGTACCTTGGTCACAAACAAGTGCTATTGGTAGAAGTCCTGAATTGGCCACCTTCGCAACTACTTCTTGCACAATTCTTTTAACTTCAATAGTAGAAGTTGTGCCCTCACAAAAATAATAACAAATAGGTTGTTTCCAGTTGGAACATAGTCCTCTGAGCATGAAAACAAGGGCATGGTCAGCGTAATTAAAAAATGTTTGACTGCCTAAGTCTTTAAATCCTCTTATTTCATCCTTTGATTCGATATATGTCAAATGAGGAGTGAGAGCTACCTCATCAAAGACTATAGAGCAAAGTTTTCTTTTTATGTCCCAATTCATAGCTCTTCTTTCGATAAGTTGGAATATATTATTATTGATACCAACACCAAAAGTAATCATCTCAGCCAAACGGTTTAATGTTCTTTTTGATGGAAGTTTAAAGATTTTTTGTAACAATCGATATCCTTTAGGGCTCTCCTTCATGAGAGTCAGTGCCAACAATTTTTCATCATGTGTAAATCTCACACCTTTTTTCTTTTTATCCACTGATTTTAATTGCATCATGATAAAATTCTGTGCATGTTTATTCATCTTGCCAAAACTCAGTAGAAAGGAATTATCTTGACTCAATGTTTTAGCTCCAGCTAGTCTCTCATTGAAGGATTTATTTTTTACAGACAATGCTTGTTTCTTCATTTTCTTGACGAAACATGAGCAAAATGACACCTTTTTGGCTGAAAAAAAAAAAGTTTTTATATAGTTTACAGCTAAGCAATTAAAATTGTGCGTTAAAAAGTACAGTAAAAGAACTTGTAATTATTTAACACTAGCGGCCCCCCGGCTTCGCACGGGTGCAATATGTATGTATATATAAACCATCTTTAAGAATCACTCTATGTATTTAAAAAAACGCATCAAAATCCGTTGCGTAGTTTTAAAGGTCTATATAGGAACATATATAGGAACAGACAGACGGCGGATAGCGACTTTGGTTTATACTATGTAGTGAAGAATAACATAATTATGACTTATAATTTAGATACAAAATTAAATAAATATGTTCAACTTAGGATACACTATTACTACAACATTAAAATTAAATAAAAGAATAAAATAGACTTAGACAGTTTTGAATTGAAGACATTACAAAAAAATCTAATAACAGGTTTTGGAAAAATAATATCACTATAATGTGACCAGGAAAAATGAAATAACTTACTTGTTTCAGAATAACATTTTTTTGCAAATAAGATATTTCGTCTTGATGTTCTTGCTGTTACTGAAATAAAACATAAAATTTATTAATAAATAAAATTAAAAAATCGGCCAATTGCGAGTCGGTCTCGCGCGGTCGGGTTCCGTCCAAAAACGAGAAAAGAATCATGTATGGATGTGGATGAGAGCCCCAAAATATTTATTCTATTTGAGTTTCTGATAATTTTTGTTATAGCGGCAATAGAAATATAAATCATCTGTGAAAATTACAACTTTGTAATTATATCACGGTTAATGAGATACAGCCTGGTGACGAGACAGATGGACAGACAGTGAAGCGAAAACAATAGGGTCCCGTTTTATCCTTTGAGTACGGAACCATAAAAACAAAATTTTAACTTGATGTTAATAACTACTAACTGTGTTAATGAAAAATATGAAAAATATAAATAAACAAACATTTAGGATTGATATTCTACCTACTGATATAGGTACAACATAAAAAGTAAGAAATTGACTACCTTTGGTTTTAGTAACCACTGGTGTTTGCAATATTTGGTCAGAACTTGTAGTGTCCATGGGTGCCGTGGGTTCGGTTTCCATAGGTTCTACGTCTTTAGAGCAATGTCCTGGAAATCAAATATTGTTGTTTAAAATCAAACTGAGCTAGAAATTTTACTTAATAATTATTACACATTCCACTTGACTACACACCTTGAACAGTCGCTTCTGCTATTGCACTCTCAGGCACAATTGGCAAATGGTAGTTGTGGTCATCATCAACTGAAAATAATTAAAACTTAATTAGGTATGCTACAACATTAAAGCATTGAACTCGTCAAATACCGGTTTTGTAGACACAATTATAGAACAATAGGTTGCGGTAACATTAAACTGTCAAACAACAAGCGTGTTAATAAAATAAGTGTTCCAAAAGTCATTTCTTACCTTCATACTACTTTTCCTTCCGAAACACAAAGGAAACTCGCTATGATAGATGGTCACCCATCTACAAACTAACCTAGGCAAAGATTTAAAAATATAAAATTGCCAAGGTTAGTTTGTGGATGGGTGACCATCTATCATAGCGACATTCCTTCTCGTTTCAGAAGAACGAGTAGGAAAGTAAAAAATGTCTTGTGGAACATTTATCTTGTAATAAAGTATGGTACGATAATCAATTGTCTAGAGAGGGATCACTTTTTTGCAAACATAATAGGTATAGCTGATTTGATGAATTTCAAATTTTTAAAATGATAATATTACATAAAAATGAATGGTTAATTGCCAAGTGGTGCAAATTGTAACAGACAACAACTGGAGAGTGGTCACCAATGACCGCTTGGGATTTGACCAGTTAAATTTAATAACTCCACATAACACAAATACCAACCTTCAATGTATGAACCACTTACAGTGTGGCTCTCAGGTGCAGATGACAAAAAGTAATTGTGATCACTTAAATGGTCACCAACTGGAATAAAACAAGCACTGATCAGAAATGTAATGTGGGAAAACTACTCATGAATGGAATGAACATATATATGTACTTACCAGTTGAACTCAATGGAATACCAAAAGATATTTCTTTATCAGAAAACAAGCAAGGGTAGCCGTGGCGTAGGCGGTTCCCCACGCTATCAAATTGATAGCGATCAAAATGATTTTGGCAAACACGTTTAGACAACAACTGATTCTTAGACAGACCACTGAGCTCTATGTTAGTTGGAATCAAGAATGATAGCCACAAATCTCTCAAATTATCGTCCTTTGGAAGAAGGAAAAGGCGATGAGTACGATTCGTAGACTGGCAGTTACCGACACAACACTTTCGCACGTTCATGGCGAAAAACTACAGATCAGTCAATACGTGAATATCAAGGAACGTTAGGGATTATTTGTAACTCAACTCAAGCTGAAAAGCGAGGAATACACAAAATAAAACCGGCAGTTGCACTCAAAATAAACACGAATAACTGACTGACAATAGTGACAGTTGACAGATAGTCATGACGTCGCCATGTTGTTATCCATGACGTCATCATGACGATGACGTCATGGATAACAATATGGCGACAAAGATGGCGACCGGTACACTAGCGCTTTGCGGTTACTGTGGAACTAACAGTGTCACAGGCCTGGATGGAACTAATTCACAAACAGTTTTTTTCTAAGTGTTGCAACTAGGGTTTGAACCCTTGTAATTTCATCCCCATTTATTTTAGTAATTTGGTTTTTGCAATTTGTATTATCTCTTAAATCCTTTTTACATTTATTTAAAAATTAAAATGGATTTCAAACTAATGTGGAACTTTTTGTACTCAACTGCAAGTCAACTATCCATAAGTAAAACCCAATAAACATATATATCAGAGAATCCTTTTAAGTTTTAGAATTTTTAAGTCATTTACACGTTTTAACATTTTATTTGTATTAATAAAACTTTTTTTACTCAAAGTAAACTTTTGATCCTCAGCGTCAGCCCAGAACAAAGATTGGGCATCAGGCAATGGCTGAGTGGCACTACTGCGTGCCGTCAAATCTATCTAGCGACACCGAACTAGATAGAATAAAAAATTTGTTTGTTTTGTTTATGGTACGCCATGGCGGATCGAGTTGGTGACGGTGATTTCTTGGACGAAAATATACAGAAATTTAACAATGAAAGGCGAAGCAGTAAACAATGGGTTAAACTTAATGTTGGTGGAACATATTTCCTGACTACGAAGACAACATTATCTAGAGACCCTAATTCATTTTTGTATCGATTAGTTCAAGAGGACAGCGATTTGATTTCGGACAGGGTTTGTTGAATTTCTTATTGTCTTTTTGTATGTAAATGAGTTTTGCTTTATTTGACACAATACATATTTATGTACGTTTGCTTTCAGGACGAAACTGGCGCTTATTTAATAGACAGAGATCCCACGTATTTTTCTCCAGTTCTCAATTACCTCCGTCACGGTAAACTGGTTATTAACAATGACATCGCTGAAGAGGGTGTGTTGGAAGAAGCAGAGTTTTATAATATTACGGAACTTATAAGATTAGTTAAGGAAAGAATATGTTTAAGAGAAAGGAGACCCTTAAAAGATTCTAAAAAGCATGTGTATAGAGTGCTACAGTTCCATGAAGAAGAGTTGACACAAATGGTGTCCACTATGTCTGATGGTTGGAAATTTGAACAGTTGATAAACATTGGCTCCCAATATAATTATGGCAATGATGAACATGCAGAGTTCCTTTGTGTTGTAAGCCGAGAATGTGGCAGTTCTCTGAACAGCAATGACATAGAACCTACAGATCGTGCCAAGGTGCTCCAACAAAAAGGCTCACGGATGTGAGCTTATCTTTTATGATTTAATATTTTTTGAGACTGTCAGCTCTGTGTGAGAAATGTGTACATATTTTTAGAGTGTAAACAGTCTGTATAACTTCTTCTTTCTATATTTTAAATTAATGTATAAATTGTCTAGAGTCTTACAATAACATTTGTATTAGTCAATTGAGTGGTAACTGTATCTTTGGTCCTATACTTCAGTACATCATAAATATATTAGATAAATACTCATTCTAATGAAGTGTGAAACTCTAAATAGGTTTTAGAAAATATGTACAAATGGGTGCACCAAAATAATAAGTGTAAGTGATGAATAAAAATAGCTAATATTAGAATATTTTAGTTTCATCACATTACTGCAACATAGGATATATAATTATTTACTGCTAGTGGCAATTTTTAATCTTTAGATTTATTGCTTTTGGTGCAATCAAATGTACATTTTAAAATTACCACATATTTCTTGATCTTAAATTTCTTATGATGTTGGAAACTGATTATTGTATGTGTATGGATTAAACTTTTGTTTGAGTTATGGAATCTTTTAAGACCTCTTAGATTTGTATTATTTTCAGTCTTGAATAAGACTTGTGAAACACATTTCATCAAATGTGTTTTTGTTAAATCAGTAATTAATTAATTCCAGATATTATGCTCATTTACCAAATGTAATATTAGATACTTACGATTCCAAAGCAGTTGTTTTATTTTCAAAAAATACTCAGTAAAGTTGTTATCAATAAATAATAAATAAAGTTGTATGTTGGTGATACCTTTATTTTTACTGAATACAATTGACTGAAAACGTAATATGATTTGACACGCCTTCACTTAAAATTATTATTAGTATCTAAGTTAATTTCATACCTACACAATATATAAATCTATAACACGTCATTTTAAAAAAATAAACATTAGCACTATTTAAGAACATTAAATTATACAGCTTATTATAAAATATTGCATTTAACTGCATTAAATACAAGTTAACAAGAGGATCTGCATTACTAGAAACTCTTTGTATAGATAACAGTGTTATTATCAAAATACAGAAATCTTCACACACTTTGTAAGGCAATGGGGTTTCTCTAGTTGTCTATTTAAATATCAGAAATTATAACCTATATTTAAATTGGTTGAAACAATTTATAAACTAGCACCAATCTGCCATATAAGTAAAGTCATGGAACAACTTGTGATCTGTGGCAGAAAGTGGTCGTGGTTCTTTGGGTGGTGTCAGCACCGCTGCCTCAGATGTAAATTCACTATCAAAGTTGCTGACATCTTCTAAGTTATTGATTGTTGGCACAAATGGTGGTTTAACCTTACGCAGTAGTAGTTGCTCCCAGTTAACATTTCGGAAGAAAGCCTGTTTCTTAACATCTTCAGCATCCCTCTCTGACGATCCCAAGCGTCTTTCTGGATTTTTCCTCAGTAAGCGACGCATCAGTGCGATAGCTTCTAAAGATAGTGTTCTAGGATAACGAACTTCGTCGTTAACAATCGAATCAAACACTTCACCTTCATCTTCTCCAGGAAAAGGTGATTCACCAACTAACATTTCAAATATTAAAACGCCAAGGCCCCACCAATCAACTGCTCGGGTATACGAAGTTTCAGTTAACACTTCAGGGGCAAGAAATTCTGGAGTGCCACAAAAAGTGCCAGTACGATCTCCCCAACCCATACCTTCTTTACAGAGACCAAAATCGGCTATCTTGACATATCCTTCAGTATCTAACAGTAAATTATCTAGCTTTAAATCTCTATATATAATGTTATTTTCATGTAAATACTGCAGGCCTAATACTACACAAGCTGCATAAAAAACTGCTCTAGGTTCAGTGAACACATCAGCATGTATATGCATCATCAGGTCACCCCCTGCTGCATATTCCATAACAAAACACACATGTTGCTCAGTTTGGAAACATGCAAATAAGTTTACCAAAAATGGATGTCTAATTGCATTAGCTACCTCAAAGATTCTCTTCTCAGATAGTAATGAATCTACTTCATCCCTTGCTATTATGTCACCCTTCTTTAAAGCTTTTATTGCGAAATATTCATTAGTTGGTTTGTATTGAGCAAGAATAACTTTACCAAAGTGTCCTCTTCCAAGAACACTTAACAATCTAAAACTGTCCATAGACATTTCGCCTGATTGCCTTCTGGTATCCTGTTCTTTACCTAAAGTATCTATTACAGATGATGAACGAGAAGATGATATTCTCATATTACTAGTAATCTCAACTATTTGATCTTCATTACTGGGAAATTCTAGAACCAATTTAGGTGAGGGTGAAGGTGGATACTCCACTAATGGTGTATCACAGGAGGGAGTCTGTGGTTCTTTTGTGACATAGTTATCCCTTGTATAAGAATCTTCTAAAAATGCAAATGCTTCCTGGAGTTCTTTCTCCATTCTCAAGGTAGAAACATTAGGAGGTGGTTGAACCGGCAATGTGGGCTGAGGAGGGGGTGTCCGTGGCATTTGTGGCGCAAGAGGTGTAGAAGGTAAGCCTAGGGGTCTAATACCTGCCATACCACCTAAGGTTACATTAGGATTTTCAATTTCTCTGTTATCAATAGAAGCTGATTCAAAACTGTGTTGTTGAGCTTGGCTTATGTGAGCAGTCTGAATGTTTTGGATGGAGGGAGATGAGCGTTTCAGAAGCCTGCCTAATACAACAGCAGGAATGTGCATTTCTCCATATGAAGGTCTTGGTATATTCTTGCCTTGTTGCTTAATAATCTTCCTTTGTCGCTGTAGCTTAGGTTTTCGAGATATGATGGGATTAAGGAACTTAATTTCAGCGAAAAGTAAGCCTTGCGGCTCCAGTTCCAGAGCCATTCCATGTCTTATATCATCAATAAATTCTTCCAATCTTAAAACTTTCACAGCACACAAACCACGCCAATCTTTCCAATGAATACCAATTTCAAGTTCTCTTGATTTATCTAGCTTGATGGTGAATCTGAAAATTGCAATAAATAAATAATTAGAAACCCATAAATTTTTATTAATATTTTTTGATTAAGTGATAAAAGTATATAAAAATATTGTAAAGGTTTTTGTAGGAAATAATATAAATGCTTTATTTACAGTCATTTTTGTGTACCCATAAAAGAGTACAGCATTACTAGTAAAGTAGAACTTTTAGTCACACTACAAATATGTGTACGGCAGATAGATAAGATATGAGTAATAGCAAGGAATTACTAAGATTGTAATTCAAGGAAGCCCAGATACAAAGATAAGTTCAATTAATATTTTGTTATATAATGCAACAAAAATATAAGAATTTATCTTTGGGTGTGTGGCAATCAGGCTTCTCTTTATAATCAAAGATATTAATTTTATAATTTCTTAATGATAAGTACCTAGTATGACTTTAAAAATGTTTTAAATGAACCAAATCTTAGAGGAGAGAGTAAATTAAAGTACATGCCTTTGATCCCATGCTTGTTGTGAACATGGTCTCCAACTGGTCTGTGCAACATGGTGGTTGTCAAGTTTTAAAACTGCCATAATCTCATTGCTTGTATCTTCCTTAATGCTGTATGTGTACTTCATAGAATTACGAATTGTTACTCCCTTAACAAATGACTTTAAGTCTGAAGGGCTAGCGGTAGGATCACGTCGACTTCTACCAGGAACATCTTCAAGTAAATCTTGACAACCCATCAATCTAACTTCTAATGTACCAGTCACTTGAACACAAGGGTTGATCAAAGGAGCTGGAGATAAAAACTGCGCTCTAGACCCACTACTGCCAGATAAACTCACATACCCTGGGCTTGAGGCTGTACTGCGCAGTTCATGTCCTAATTCTATAAATGCAGGGCTTTCACTAGGAAGCTCCTGTCTGCGCATATCTAAGGATCTGCGTAATAAATCTAATTTCTGTGATGATTCTAAAAGGTTTGTTTGGGCTTCTTGTAAAGCTTTTTTGTCTGTTACTTTCTTATCACTTTGTAAAAGTCTTATGGCATTTTTAGAGCCTTCTACCACGGCTGCCTCAATCCTAAGCCGGTTCCTCAATTCAGCTATTCTCTCATCTAGTAAAGCAGCAATACCACTTTCAGAGCTTTTACCATCACCATTAGATCCTGCATTATCGCCTTTTTGTTGTTTGGTTAGTTTAGAAATACGTAATTTTAAATATTCAATCTTGTCTTTAGAATCTGCTAGCATTTGGTGAGCTTCAGCAAGTAATTTTTTGTCTCTGGATTGATTGCTGCTACTGATACTTTGTATCATATTTTCAGCTCCTTGCTTAACTTTGAGCTCAATGTTCAACTGTTTTTCAAGTGATGCCAACTTTCTGTCTGTTGTTGCTTCACCCAGTTGCCTTTGCTGCTGAGCAGCTTCTGAAGCCAGAATAATCTCCTCATCATAAGAGAGATCTTCTGGTGAAGTAGGAGTAGACTGACCACGAGACAAAAGAAGCTGAGACTCCAGTTCTTGGAGGTCTGACTTAAGTTCATTAAGCTTTATATTAGCTTTTTTGACGATATTGGCAACATCGGAGAGTGATCTCCTATCAGTGGCCACCTCCCGTAATTTCTCAGCACCTTCTTTTATTTTAAGTTCTTTACGTATTTCTCTACGTATGACATCTTTAAGCTCCTCCAACTTAGACGGCAGTGCTATTTCTGGAATACACTCCGTTTTAATTCCATACTTCACGCCGAGTTCGTGAAGGACTGGGTGTCGAACGTAATCACTGTGGTAATAACCTGGCTCTGCCATAATTGAGGATGCACAGTCTAACGTCAGTTAACCATAATTATGTGGGAAAATATCACTTTATAGTATTGCTTGAGGATCACAAAACGTCGATCAAATCGTTACGTTTCGCAACGATAACAACACTCGATACTTTAAACAAAATCATGATAAATGTAAAACTTGATCGTTTTTATTAAATTAATCACAAAACAAAACAATCTATACAAGTGAATCGGTCAACGAAATCAACGAAACGATGAAACCCTACCATTATTCCATGGACAATTTATTGAATGAGTTATAAAGTCTGCCATAAACTAACTTGGCTTTTGGCACTTTTGTTTGAAATCCAGATATTATTATTTTACTACAGTTAAAAACAATACACAAAACACACACTTGCATTTTAATAGCGCAATAAATATGGATATAACAATTAGTACGCTTCCATTCTCGGGATCACAATTTTAATCTATGTGAAAATATGAAATGATAATTACATCGTCCCTAGATGTACTCAAAGACAATCACCGGTTGGTGCAGGACCGTTCATGACCGTTGTGCAATATGATCAAAAAGTGATAAGGGTATGTATCTGAAATGCTTATTAATATTTTGTAGATGGATATAGTAATTAACTAACTATGGAATACTATGGCCTTTGCTCCTGACCAACATTAATAAACAGGCAGGGGGTGGCTGGCAAACTCAACTAATGGGCCCGTGATACGGGGGCAGTTTATGTTGAGCTGCTTTACGCATTGAGAAAGAGAGGCATCAAGAAAAGGCTTCAGAAAGAAATAGTAATCTAAACTACATTGTAATTTTTACTAGCATCACTAAGAAGGAAGACATCCCTATTGACAATGTCAGCAGTCAAGAGCTGCCAAATGGTTATTTTTTATCTGTTTGTAAGTTCCGAAAACTCAGTTTTAACTTTCACTTCCTTTGTACAAAAATTTTCTAGTAAAAAAGTTTTCATTCAACACGTAACAATCGATTATATTATTTAGCTTATTAGAATATGTTATTGATATTAATTTAGGTTTTAATTCATAGAATTTGCTGGAAAAACGACGATCTGTCAAAAGGCGCCAGTTGAAAGAAAGAACCTATCATCTGTCTGTCACACTTACGAAAGCTTGGTCATCCGTTTTAATGGAAAAATAATGCCCGTAAAAGTTGATATAACTCCACCGCCTCCAGCAAATTCCAAACAGCCTGGAGTGACAAAGTCCCTGCTATATAACGGATCCAAATTTCAAGGGCACCAGAAAAGCAAAGGTAACTCCTATGAAGTCGAAGTGGTTTTGCAGGTTAGTAACAAAAACAAAGTACGCAATATTGATAAAATTACATATTTACGGAAAATTGCAAGTGACTGTGTAAGCTTTTTGCGCATTAAGACAATAGTTTATATTCTTAGACCTCGTAAATCGATTCAAAACACGTTTTTTCGTAAAATTTTATGGTGGAGAGTGTGCAGTGAAACTTTAAACTAATCATTACTCTCTCATTTCAGCATGTAGACGAAGAAAATTCTTACCTTTGCGGGTATTTAAAAATAAAAGGTTTAACAGAAGAATTTCCCACATTGACAACATTTTTTGATGGAGAAATTATATCTTCTAAATACCCTTTCCTCACAAGAAAGTGGGATGCCGATGAAGATGTTGATAGAAAGCACTGGGTAAGTGTATAAGAGGCCATACCCATAATACTCTTTGATATGTGATCTTGGAAGGGTGTATTCTTACAAATATTTAATAATTTTCAGAGCAAATTTGATTTGTTTGTACCCTACTTAAAGACATTCAATTCGGATTCGTTTGATTATGACTCTCTCGAAAAGGCTGACTATGTGTTTATGAGGTGGAAAGAACACTTTTTAGTGCCAGATCATACAATAAAGGATATAAATGGTGCTTCATTTGCTGGTTTTTACTATATATGCTTCCATAAGTCTGCAGCTACAATAGAAGGCTATTATTACCATCGAAGTTCTGAATGGTGAGTACTTTTTGTGATATTGTTACTTTTTCCAATATGAATATTATATAGGAAAAATCTGGTCAATAGTAAGAAAGTAATAATGAGCTCAGTCCTAGGTAGTATGTCTAATAAGAATATTTTAGAGTCGAAAGATCTGTATGAGCTATCAAAGTGAGTTTGTTATCTGGGTGTTGCTGTTAGATGTCTGTAATATGTACTGTACTGTACATATAGCTAGATTTAAAGTATGTTTGGGATTAAAATTCGTGAAACCAAATATATTTTCGATCTTACCTAGGAGTATTGATATGAAATGAACAGGATTTGCTGTAGTGCTAATCATTTGACCACATGGTTTGAGGTTAAAGATCACAGTCCATATTGATTAGTGATAACTTGAATATCCAAATAACTAGCACAAATTTTGCTAAATAGTTTAGTTAATGCAGTATGCAGTAAGAATTTGTGTGTGACCCTAATAGTGTATTTTATCCAATTAGTCATAAATATGTTGGTATCAAGAAGTTTCATTTTGGCTTGATGCCATTCCTTATTTATATAAGTTTAGAATAGAAATGACTTGTACATTATAGTACTTTGTGCATTTTGGTGTTTCATTCTTGTAAGTAAATAAAATAATAATTAGTGAATTTTGTGATTATTTTCAGGTATCAATCTTTGACATTAAGCCATGTACCGGAACACAGCATCCAAATTTATGAGTTTAGATGAAATCACCATGTGAAAACTTAAAAATTTGGATTGGTATTTTTGTGTCCGCTAGTACTTACTTGTTCATTAAGTGTTAACTTCAGTCAGTATCCAAAATGTGTAAAGGTTGACAATGTTGTGTTACTCCAGTAATGTAAGATAAGATGTCTGGTCTAAAATATAATAGTTATTCATTCAGAACAAAGGTAATTCAAAATGTAATTTTACAAAATGATTCAAGAACAACATTGTGTCATAAATCTGTTTTTGCACATACTTCGGGATCAAAGAATGATACTCCAAGTGACGCCTGATTTTATAGAAACTATGCTTTATTAATTAATTTTCCATCAAATATACTTATTTTATAGATTTAGTAAAAAATAAGTTTATGTTGTCATATTCATTTCTAACTTTTTGCCATAGTGATTCAGAAACTTAATAATATTAAATATTAATTGTAATTATATAATGTGTTAAGTTTCTTAATAATACTATGTATTATTATTGTGATATTTTGTACAAATGACTTGCATGTAAGTTGTTTCTATTATTTGATCAACATTTTTGTTATGAATATTGTGTACAATAGTTAATAACAGTTACCTACTTCATTTTGATTGAAGTATGTGCAAGTACAGGGAATCTCGTTTTATTGAACAAGTTAATCATTTGACACCTACTAGTAGGAACTATTATCAATGTTATTGATAAAAATTGAATATTTTTTTTCAATAAAACATCTTTCAGTAAAATTATGTTTGTATTATTTCACGATCCAGGTAATAAAAATGCATATATCAATTTGATTTCCATTTTAATGTAACACATTTACTATTTACAATAAAATACTGGCATTGATAAATTTATAGTTTTTATGTTTCATGAAATATCATCCAGTGAATAAGCAAATTTCTTAATTTTAATATAACATTTTAAGACATGATATTTATTGACTAAAATCTTACCATATTTGTACAATAGTCCTCACGATTTTTCAAAATTGATTTAGTAAACTTAGAATTTATGCATTTTAAAGTAAGCATTTCTCATAGTACAAAAACAGGCTATTTGAAAAAATAAATGTAGATGAATATGAAAATTTTGAAAGATATGTTGTTTAAAGCAAGATTGAGGCCGTTTTTGTACTTAAAGCAATATATTATATTATTATATTTCAAACAATAAATATATGTATTGTGTGACACATAGTTAGTTTCAGCATTAAAATAAAATCTAACCATCTAGCTAGTCAATTAATACACTGGTATAGATCTTAGATAAAGAAATAAATTTTAAGTAATTGTAGTCAAAAGTTTATCATAATTATCTAAAAGGCGGTAGGTAAATGTCAAAAATATAATGTTAATTATTATAAATTGTTTTTGTAATTGTCACATAAAAGGAGATATTTTAATTACTCCGTATTTTTTAAATAAAATAAGGCCAATATAAAAAGTATTTGATAAACTTCTGACCTTAGAGTAAGTGTTCAGATATATCAGTTAGGCTCAATGGCTGCTAAACAGGTATACACAGAATGAATTTACTTACTACCCATCATAATTGATTTTAACATGTCTGCTAACACACTAAATTATGACAATAATTTTGAAGAAATAAGAATGTAAAAATAATAAATTTTGGCACTTAAAACTTGTATTAAGTTTAAAGGTAATAATCTGTAATATGTCAAAATGATTGGTCACCTTGAGCCCAACAACTATTTCTAGATAATTATAAACATTAATTTGATTATAAAAATACATTTTATTCACCTACCTTAGATAGTTTCGAATAGGTACACAGTGAATTATTATGTGACAAAAAACTAAATACTTAAACTAAGCTTTGGTGGGATCGTTAATGTGTAATAGTGTAATAGTTCGGTAATGCAGGTATTACGCCCTTACGAAAGTACAGAAATGTGAATGTATTTCGAAATGCGAGTACTCTCGAATCACGGCTTTCACTTGGCTATATGTCGCCAGTTACACAGTTATCCAGCCGATTCGAGATAAGAAAACGTATACATATTTAATTGATTATACATACTACTAGTGTGGCAAGTATACACGTGGCCAAGTATAAACATAAAATATACTTAATGCATTCTGCGGAAGTACATGTTTTGGTGGGTTTTAAGTGTCCGATTTTGCATTTAGATTGTTTGGAACTAATAATACGAACAAATACCTACTAGCTATATCTACACACATCATAAACACAAAACATTGAGTTAGGTTACAACTATCAACTGCAACGAATACTTAGTTTCTTGAAAAATAGCGGCAATTACATGCCGCTTCTTTTTGAGAATACTTAAATTAACACTATTAGGTAGGCATATTTTGCGATACTTATTAGGTACGAAACATCAAACATCTACAGACAAATACATTCACAACGAAAAATTTATATAAAAATATACATCGAATAAATATAAGTCGAAAATTATCATCAATAGAACAATTTACATTAACATAATATAAAACAACGATAATACTATAGCAAAATAAAACACTTAAAATTAGAAAATATTTACAGAACTTAAAATTTCTAACAAAAAATAATAACTTAATTATGACTGTAATATTTGGCTTTGAAATAAATAGGCTAATATATTGAAAGCTATGGATAACAATGACTTCGAATTGAACAAAATAGGATTTGATAACAAATTAAATAGTTGCTATCTTTCAAGTAATTAAGTAAGATAGAGATTAGGCAGGTGCCAATGTAACATGATGGTGAATATGTGGTTATAGTATATTTTCATTTGTCCCATAGCTTCCATTATACGTCGTCGGGTAACATCGAATTGTCTAATGTAACAAGAAGCAAGCTATCTTTTTGATGTCCCTTCACTACTGAACCAATGTCTGAGGCCAAGGAGGCTGTAGAGGTCCTGGTTGTTTGTGTGAGCTCGCGTTGGGTCGGCGTGGTGTTGGACTGCACGATGAATATATCCTTTCAGTTGCTCTGGGTATGCTGGAGGTACGCCCGCGTATCCTGCATGTGGGTAGTTGTGTAGCCGAAAGTTGTGTGGATACGAATGATGATGGCGCCGAGGGTTCTCGTGGGTGTTATACACACCACCTACTTGATTTCGACCAGGCCAGTAATCCTGTAAATGTCGGAACGGATAATCTGGTGGAGGCGTCGGAGAATGTTGACCTTGCCAGGGATACCTATAGTAAACCTCATATTTTGGGAGGAACACATTATGCGTTGCGGTCTTATCACTGTAAACCATTTCAAGCGGTGTATGAATAGGCGCGGTACGAGCTGGTTCCCTATTTTGATCTTTTGGCCTATTTCGTCGATACTGAAGCTTAGTACGGGTACCCAGAATGCTGTCCTCTTTCATTAAATTGTTATTTTGTTCTTTGGTAAAGTTATCATCAGTAGTGACATCGGCATATCGACTTATTAATTTGATAGCTTCGCCAATATCAGAATAGTCATTTTCCGGACTGAGTTTGCTTTGATCTCCATCTTTTTTCAAAACATTCGTACTTGAATTTATACGTTCAGTTTCGGCACTTGTTAAATTAGACGAGTTTACTTGAGCTTCATTAACAGAAGTTGCATTATTTTCAATCTCTGTTAAGCTGCTCGACTCTAAATCTTCTGTAGAATCTGTTTGATTTTGATTTTCTGTGTTATAAAGAATGGGGTCAACGTTAACGTGTCCATAAACTAATTCTTTTTGTCCTTCATCGGTAATATTGCTTGGCGATTCAGTTTCCGTTATATTGACGCTTGAGCTATCACGTTTAGGTTTATCAGGATAATTGTGCGTCAGTATATTCTGATTTACCAAATATGAACTATCAATGACTGCTGTATTGTTCGGATTCAATGTATTTTGAAGTTTCAAGAGTTCTAATTCTGCTTCTATGCTGACGTCGCCGTCTGCTTTATTCGTATCTTTCTTGTCAACTTTCATGTAGTTCGGTTGTAGTTCTTGAGCCTAGAACATAAAATGTATTGTTTAAGACATTATAATATTAAAGATTACAGAGGTCTGTTTCATCAGTTTGTAAAAATTTAATACTTTTGCTACCTGTGAAGATGGCTCTTGACCTTGAAGTGGTGCTGCTTGTGGATCTAAACCAATAGGTATAGAAAGTTGCAGTGGCCCAGGATCAGCATCTCCGTAGTCATAGAGTACGTCTCCACCAGGAGCTGAAGTCACAAACCAAGCGTTCAGATGCTCCAGTAGGATACGTTCGTGTTCATCTTTGTTTACTGTCACCACCTGAAGAGTTAGATGTAAGTTTTAGTCACCTTGGTAGTCACATAGAAAAATATAGTTTTATTGACTAGGATATTTATTATTTATGTGTTTAAAAGACGTTGGGTAGTTTTAGAAGGGCTTACCTGAACACAGCCATTTCTATCGAGTCTCTGTCCTTCGGGACAATTGAGAGGCGTTATAAACAGAGATTTAGTGGTTATTCTTCGTGGTGGGGCATTTTGATTGTTGCTTTCAGGACTTTGGAGCCAGGACTTCCATGCGAGTTCAGCGGCTTGTCGGTCGAGGGTGCGTGGCGGTGGGCGGGTGGTCGCCACAGGCGCCGGGGCCGGCCCCTCCGCTCCGGGCTCCGCCCTTACTAGTGCACTCGACACCAGCAGTAACGTCGTCCACGTATACCACATCGCAAACACCTGTAACGTAACACATTATTATTGGTATTTTGTGATAAACTACTGTTGACATTATTAGATATTTTCTAAAACAAAAAATGGTTTATTGTATTATGAGTTGGAATTTTTAATTCAAACAGCTGTTAGAATATCAGGAATCTGCTTAGAGGTTAATCCCACCTGTTTATTCTACTAAGCTTATGGCAGTCCGTTGACATGGCTGCCACAAAAAAGATAGGCAAAGCTAATAGTTGCCATGCCACTAAGCGGGTTGGTGACCGCGGATTCAGTACTTTTCGCACCATTTGCGCGTTCATCACTATTGATTGTATTCCTATTAAAAGTAGGAAATTGCGCAAACATTCATAATTCATAACACGAAGATTAATTACAGTTTCCTTAGTCATTCCAAGCGTTACAATTTAACACTATGTGGTTCACGTTCAGTATTAGTTTTTGATTTCCTTTTGTACGCGAAAAATAGTATAGTTTCCATATAATGTTTTCCTTCTAAAGCAAAGGAACGCTCATCAAATCATGTACCTAATTGTCATCTAGGACTGAAATGGATCAAGGTGCAATATCAATGATTGCTCAGTTAGTACCTACAATAGCTTCGAGTGCGTAGATACAAACCGAACCTATGCATTAGTCGTTTGCATAATAAGTCGGTTCCCGTATCTATCTAGAGTCCATGATACGTATTCCAGCCACGGTTCATACCAACCGTCATATTTTTTTCTCAAAATATGATTATTAATTTTGTTACCCAGGTGTCTAGCTATGTGCTGTTGGTATGTGGGTTAAGTACAAGGTACATGCTCAAAAACGTTTAAAATAGAGTGCAGTTCCACAATTAGATTGCTGTGTTACATGTGGCGGATATTAAAAACGAATCTTGGTGTTTATAATCTACAACAATCCATCAACCTTAATTGTCTGTGGACCAAATAGATCCGTAAATGTGAATATCATCTGGGAGCGACCTTGAGGCCCTTTATCATTGGGAAAGTGAAAGTGTGTTAATCATAGACTATTATGTATAGACACTTACGCCTTCACTTTTAACTTGCATTAAGTTATCGATAGGTATGTGCCTTCC